TCTCCCCCACCCCCATTGCCTTCTTCCCTTCAGCTTGAATAATGGGAAAAGTTCATATTCTGTGTTTAATTAAATGGCTATTTCAAAAGTTTTTTACTAATAAAATGATATCTCAAAAAGTAACATGTATGTAGCCTTATAATATTATTATAATAGCCTTATAATATTAACATGTATATAGCCTTAATATTATTTTAAATGTCTATTTAGAAGTACTATATAATTTCCTTGTATATATTCTCTTATCTACAGATATTTAGATTGCTTTATACTCATAAAATCTCTGGGCTGAATATTTCTTCATGTCCATTGAAGGGGATCAAATTATACCCCTCCAGAACATGCCACCTTGGCATAAGAGTTACTTTGAGCTGAAGGCATTTGAGAAATAGCAGATGCAGGAAGGACCCCCTGTTCACACCTTCCACCTAAAAGGACATAAATTTCCCATGAGAAAGGTACCCTCCCTGTACCAGGAAGAAGTGTCTATTGTTACCACTGGAGACAGGGAATCAATGCCAAGAAGAATCTGTATAAACAAAACTTACTAAAGCAACCCTTATCTTCCATCAGTTTCCCCCATATTTTATTTTATTTTATTTTTTTGAGACAGAGTCTCACTCTGTTGCCCAGGCTAGAGTGAGTACTGTGGCATCAGCCTAGCTCACAGCAACCTCAAACTCCTAGGCTCAAGCAATCCTTCTGCCTCAGCCTCCCGAGTAGCTAGGACTATAGGCATGCGCCACCATGCCCCGCTAATTTTTTCTATATATATTAGTTGGCCAATTAATTTCTTTCTATTTATGGTAGAGACGGGGTCTTGCTCTTGCTCAGGCTGGTTTTGAACTCCTGATCTCAAGCAATCCTCTCGCCTTGGCCTCCCAGAGTGCTAGGATTACAGGCATGAGCCACCGCGCCCGGCCCTCCCCTATATATTTACCTTCCTATAATTGACTTCCTGTAGAATCTCAAGCCACTTTTTGTCTTGTCCAGTCTCTACAATTTTTTACTCCTAGTTAAAAACAGTATATAAGCTTTCAAGCCTAACCACTCTTTGGAGTTTTTACTTCATTTTTATTTTTATTTTTATTTTTATTTTTTTTTAAAAAGGTGGTACATAGTGCCTGTAATTTACTTCATTTTTAAAGGCCCTCTATATGTTGGAATAAACTTTTTTCTCCTATTAATCTGGTTTTTGTCAGTTTAATTTACAGGGTCCCAGCCACTGAACCTAAGAGGGTCAGAGTGTTTTTCTTCCCCTACACCATCTTTGTCCACATGTCCAATTATTTCCTTGGAGTGAAACTGCCTGTCAAATGTTTGATATTGATACTTATTGCCAAAGTGCACTCTAAAAAGACTGTAGACATACGTTTATTTCCACTATCAAGGTATGCTTGTAAGCATTCTGAGAAGCCTAATTGTTTTCTTAGACCTAAATTCCACTGCTTCATGAATCCTTCTACTTCCACTCACCACCACCATCTCTTTGCCTTTTCTGAAATCCTTTCCACTTAGGGTCTGTAGCACTTAGCAGCTGAGCACTTCACTGTTCTCCTGTTAATTCATTAAAAAAGAAAAGAAAAGAGAAATTCCAGCTTCTATTTGCACCTAGTCATATGCAGGGCAGTAGAAATACAAATACGAATTAGACCAAGTCACCACTCTCCAGGAGATCACAGTCCAGTGGGCATCTAAACCTTGCTGTTGTTAAATGCATGTTGTCAGTAGCTTCAGGGTGGAAATGGGGTATTAAAAAATGGGTACAATTAATCTCCCATGTATGGTCTGACAGAATAGCACTGGCACAGTAAATGTTATCTGTTTATGAGAGTTTCTATCATTAAATAATGAGAAGTGCTCAAATTTACACTCCCAACCACATTGTAGGAATGTAAACAGAAAAGCAGAGTAAGTTTCCCAACTGAAAATGCCACTTCTTACTCATCCCAGCAGCTATGGCATTTGGACCACATAGAGGCACTCAGAAAATGTCTGTTGAATGATGGAGGGATGAATAAATGCATGGATGGATAAAGATGGCTGAATATAAGCAAGGAAAAACTATTAAAATGTAAGTATTTACAATCTCCTCCACATTACAGAGCCTTCCCAAGGTGCCTGTTTTGATGATGGTGTGGGGAATCACATGGGAGAGGGAATAAAAGGTCCTCTATTATAAAGAGAAAGAAAAATTTAGGGAGAGAGCTAGACATTGCAGGGGGAAGGATAGTTCATAAGAGCAGAGCATGGTTTGGAGACCTGTGGAGAGATATGGCAACTGCCAAAGGGAGCAGACGGGGAGTGTGAAAAGAAAAGAAAATTTCAGGACCTTCCAAATTTATTATGCCAGGGTAAAAGTTAAGCCCTGGAAACTGGGTCTGGTAACATGGCTGTTTTGTCTTCTCTGGTGCATGACCAATGCTTCCTGACCTTTGTGTTGAAATGTTATACATTAACCAGACTCCCTATTCTTTATTCAAACTTAGACAAAAGTTAGGGACTCTTGTGATTATTACCTCTTCACAATAAAAGGTTAAGCAAATCCCTTAAAGTGTAATCAATAGTAGTCAATCAGATCTTATATCTACATGCTGGCCTTTGTATGAAAAATGTTGTAATTCTGTTTGGCACCCCTGTTTTTGCCTATATAATTGATCCTCACCTTTCCCTACACCAGGAAGCACTGATCACCATTCTTGGCCTGACCTTCCCACAAGTGACACACACTCTTTTTTTTTTTCTCTGCTGCCCACACACACTCTCACACTGCACTTAAACTCTTTTAACTAGATCCTGAACCTTCTGATTATTGTAGTTTGATGTGAGAAATATATTTTAGTAAGATTTTTAGGAAATCAGTCGTGTGATTTGTGAAGCAACTCTCTCCCCAAGAAATCGTCAGTAAATACAGTATACTCTTCTGCGTTTTTGGAGTCTAGTCAGGACTGTTATGAATGTGGGAAGGCATCAAGCCTTCTTCAGAGCGGGCACGGGATGACAGCAGGGACAGCGAGGAAGCCCAGAGCCATTCTTGTTTACATGCAGCTTGTGTGTTTGAGCATCATGGCACAGAAGACTCTGGCTATATTTGATGGTCCATGGGGGAGAGGAAGGAACACCAATGAATTGTTGTGAGATTACAGCTATGGGGAGGAGCGAGGGTGACAATCTGGCTCCAGAAGGGGTGGGCTGTGGGGAAGCAGTGAGTCTCCGTTTGCTCAACCAAGTGTCTGGTACCTAACAGGAGCTCCGGGTGTATTTGCTGATTGGATCGTACAGGATATAGGAATACTGCAATTCGGTGAGGCGGGGATTATTACCTCCATTGTAGAGATGAAGAAACTAAAACCTGAAGGTGACTCCTTCCCAGGTCTCCTGGCAGTCAGTAGGGAGCCAATAACACCCACCCCGGCTTCTTCTACATCCTCTCCCGCCAGAGCTCCTGAGAGCAGACACCTGACACCCGCCTCAACACCGCCCCGCTCACCCCACACTTCCGGATTCCGCCCCGCCCGCGCGCAAGGACTTCTGGTACCCAACGCTGGGAACCGTGGGGCCGTAAATCCGCTCTCCGAGGGCTCTCATGGCCTTGGAAACCAATCCCTGGTTCTGGCGACAGCAGGTCCAGGTGCAGCAGGGCGTTCTTTCTCGCGTTACTGGGCATTACACTGCAGCCGTATTCTCCGGCCTGTGGATTACGTCACTTCCAAGCCCCTGCGGGCAGATGAAAGCCGGAAGTGGCGCAGGCGCCACTAGGTGGCTGGGAAGGGTAGAGTCTGGTGGTCTTGATATTTCTGCGTTTCGCTCTGGCGTGTCCCGGGGTTTAGGCAAGACCGTATGCTGAGTGGAGTTGGCGGATTTGTCAAATAAAAATACAGGGTGTCCATTTAAATCTGAATTTCAGGTAAACTACGAATAATTTTAAATATAAGTAAGTACTGAATATTGGATGAAACATACTTACATTAAAAAATCACTTATCTGGGCCGGGCGCGGTGGCTCACGCCTGTAATCCTAGCTCTCTGGGAGGCCGAGGCGGGCGGATTGCTCGAGGTCAGGAGTTCGAAACCAGCCTGAGCAAGAGCGAGACCCCGTCTCCACTATAAATAGAAATTAATTGGCCAACTAATATATACAAAAAATTAGCCGGGCATGGTGGCGAATGCTACTTGGGAGGCTGAGGCAGGAGGATTGCTTGAGCCAGGAGTTTGAGGTTGCTGTGAGCTAGGCTGACGCCACGGCACTCACTCTAGCCTGGGCAACAAAGCGAGACTCTGTCTCAAAAAAAAAAAAAAAAAAAAAAATCACTTATCTGAAATTCAGATTTAACTGGACACCCTGTATTTTCTCTGGCAACCTTAAGCCTTGAGCGTCTGCCTTCCCTGGGCTCTAGTATCCAGTAGCAATGCTGGGATCCTCTAGCGCCCTTTGTCCATGGGTGAAATAGGTACAAAGTTCACCAAGACTGTAAAAATCAGCTGTCTTAGATGCCAAGACACTTTTAGCTCCAAACCTAATGGGCAAGCGCCAGGGGTCTGTCCCCCTGGCAAAAAAACAGCCCATTTTCAGAATCCAGGTGGGAGTATCCTCTGTTCCCTTTCACAGGGAATATTATTTAGTCTTCTCTTATGGGAAAGCTGAGAACCAGGCAGACTAAATGGCCAAGGTTTAGAAGTTTCCACCTTATTTGGGTGTGAAATAAATGTGTTTGAGGTTTTCTGTGTTACAGTGGACAGCAGCAGAGAGCCTGAGAATGTCAAGGGGAGAGTGTTAGTCTTAATCTCACCCCACCTCTCATTTAGCAGATGAGGCCCACTGAGAGAAATCGAGGCATCCCAGCCATTCAGAAAACCTGCAATAAAGCTGGAACTCCAATTCCCAGCCTCCTTCCCCTGTTCCATCCACAGTTGTTGATGCAGTCAGCTTGCAGCATTTATGGTAGGCATTTATTTTAAAAGATGATTTTTATAGATGAACTCTTTGGGGCTTTATTGTCCTTAACCCCCTCTATAACTTCCTGACCTTCACCCCAAGGCTTCTCTAGGGTTTCTCTGCCCAGTGGCAAAACGACTATTTGGGCTCAGCTATGGGAGCCTGGCCTTTGCCTGCCTGCTCCAGCCACTGGGCTTTTAACATGTGGGTGGTGTGACCCAGGACTTGTTTTGTTATCTTAGAGCCAGAAGGGGCCAGCTATGTGGGTAGAAGGGCATCTTTTCCTGTCCTGCAGATTGGACCTCCTGGCACATGGCCTCAGATGGTGCTTAGGGACTTCCCTATGGTTCCACTATGACCCAGATTTTTCTGCCACTCGTATTCAACCTGAATCTCTTGCTGGACTGTCATTCTGAATGCTGTGATTCCTCAGATTGCGTGGCTTGAGAATATGTTCTGGGCTTGGGCTGTCAGTGCCTTGGTGAGCCTGCCGTCTCCTCACAAAGACCCAGTGTTCCCAGGCTCCCCATCCCAGTCCCATTAGATAATGAGATAGAGTAGACAGGATGTCAGTGGGCTTAGGGGTAAGTTGGTGGGACAATCAAGAGTCTCCTGGCAGCAGAGGTGGTAAAGAAGCAAGGAAGGAGTACCAGAAAGGGGCATTGCCCTGGGTGAGGGCTTTGATGTGTACGGGGTGGAAAAGAGACAGGGCAGGAGCCCACTGATAGGAACTGCTCTCTCTGTTTATGATTAACTCTCAGCCAAAGGGGGTGACCTAGGAGGAGGGCTCAGCTAACAGGAACTTTGGACTTGGGTCAAGAGTGTTCAGAGGGCTGGCATGTAGTCTGCAGGGGAGGACATGGCTGGGTGGCAGGGCTGGTCTCTGAGGACTCTAGTGAGATCAGGCAGCTTTGGGCTTCAAGAAGTGTCCTTGGACTATCAGATAGCTCATTCTTACAGCAGCAGCTGTGGGATTCATTGGTCCTGAGCCCTCAGAGGGGTGGCCGTGAGGGCCCTCCTATCTCTTGTCTTACAAGGGCCTCATTTGTGCTTTCTCCCTGATAGGCAGCTATGGGTGCCAAGCAGTGCTGAGAGCTGTGGGGCATGGCTGCAGCCCTGCAGTTGCTGCCCCGTGTGGCCCGAGCCCCCTTGCGTCCACTCCTCTGGGGGGGCCCAGTGGTCCGGCTGGCCAGTGACATGGCCTTGGCAGAGCAGGCGCAACAGCTGTTCGAGAGTGCTGTGGGTGCCGTGTTACCGGGCCCCATGCTGCACCGGGCACTGTCCTTGGACCCTGGTGGCAGACAGCTGAAGGTGCGGGACCGGAGCTTTCAGCTACAGCAAAACCTCTATCTAGTGGGCTTTGGCAAGGCTGTTCTGGGCATGGCAGCTGCAGCCGAGGATCTACTGGGCCAGCATCTCGTGCAGGGTGTGATCAGCGTTCCTAAGGGGATCCGTGCTGCCATGGAGCATGCCGGCAAACGGTAAGGAGCCATAGGGGTGTCAGGAGAGGCTGCTTCCCACTGTCATTCTGGAAGGAAACCTGGGCCCAGACCTAGACTAAATCAGAGTTCTCCCTCCTCTCCAGCTTCCCTTTTTCACCTGGGTCTGGCTTGGCTCTAGGATAGGTGTCAGTGGGCATCCTTATTCATGCCCCCTTCACCTGTACAGTTGAGAAATCAGGTGAGAGGAGAGGAGCCCACCCCATTTCTTACTCTCTGTTCTCTCCCTCCTCAGGGAGATGCTGCTGAAGCCACACAGCCGTGTCCAGGTGTTTGAGGGTGCGGAAAACAACCTGCCAGACCGCGATGCGCTTCGTGCCGCACTGGCCATCCAGCAGCTGGCTGAAGGACTCATGGCTGATGACCTGCTGCTCGTGCTCATCTCAGGTATGGGTGCCAGATTGGCTCAAGACAGTTGGCAGTGGGTGCTCCAAATATCAGGTCTTCAGGAGATCAGGTCTGAGCTCCCACGGCCACAGGGTGAGATTGGGAGCAAGAGAAGCTGAGGAACCTGGATGGTGACTCCTGGGTAGCCTTGGGCCAGTCATCTGGCTTCCCCTGAGCTGTGGAGTCCCCCATACCCCGCTGAACTGACTTTGTTGGGTGATGATGAGAGGGTGCATGAAGAACGCCATCAGCAGAGCCCTCAGAAAATGTCACTCTTTTTGTTGCTGTCTGCACCCATGTCAGCTGGGTCCAGAACCCAGGTCTTCAGACCTCTTGGAGCCCTCCCATTGATCCTCTGCTATTGATGCCTGCCCCGCTCCCATTTCCATCTCTTAAGGAAGAGTTAGTTCTTCCACTGCCTGCGGGGACCTGGAGTACCTCAATGCAGGGGACAACCTCAGGTGGCCAATGTGTGGTGACCGTGCACATATGATATGTCCACATGGGGCCACCCTAACCCCACATTTCCAGAACAAGCCCTAATATGGGCTTGTTCACCACTGCTTCCCTGGTTCCCTGGGTTGGGATGTCCCTTCTGTCTGATGCCTTCACTGTCTCTGCAGGTGGGGGCTCAGCCCTGCTGCCCGCCCCCATCCCACCTGTCACACTGGAGGAGAAGCAGACACTCACCAAGCTGCTGGCAGCCCGTGGAGCCACCATCCAGGAGCTGAACACCATTCGGAAGGCACTGTCCCAGCTCAAGGGTGGGGGACTGGCTCAGGCTGCCTACCCTGCTCAGGTAGTTTGGTGGAGTCAGACCCACATGTGCCAGGGTTATGAAAGCGTAGAACAGCATACAAATTGGAAGGGGCCTGGTGTGAGAGTCCACAGGGCTAGCTGGGTAAAGTCATGGGACGGGCTTCAGGGAGGGTGATGGGTTGTCCACAAGGCCAGGTGTTCTGCAAGCCCACCTGAGAGGGGTTAGAAATGGGTGAGGACATGCACTGGGTGATGTGAGGTTATGTAGATGCCCAGAGAGCAATTTGTCCTTATGGGCTGTGGGGCAAGGAGGAGGTGGGACAGAGCCTTGCCCTGTGGCTTTTCCTCAGGTGGTGAGCCTGATCCTGTCAGATGTGGTGGGGGACCCTGTGGAGGTGATTGCCAGCGGTCCCACTGTGGCCAGTGCCCACAATGTGCAAGATTGCCTGCATATCCTCAATCGCTATGGCCTTCGTGCTGCCCTGCCACGTTCCGTGAAGACTGTGCTGGCTCGGGCCGACTCTGACCCCCATGGGCCATACTCTTGTGGTCACGTCCTCAATGTGATTATTGGCTCCAATGCACTGGCGCTGGCTGAGGCCCAGCAGCAGGCCGAGGTGCTGGGCTATCGGGCTGTGGTGCTGAGTGCAGCCATGCAGGGTGACGTGAAGAATGTGGCCCAGTTCTATGGGCTGCTGGCCCAGGTGGCTGGAACCCGCCTCATCCCATCCATAGCTGGGGCTTCTGCGGAAGAGGATGCAAAACTCCATGAGCTGGCAGCCGAGCTCCAGATCCCAGACCTGCAGCTGGAACAAGCTCTGGAAGCCGTGGCTGGGGCTAGAGGCCCAGTCTGTCTGCTGGCTGGTGGTGAGCCCACAGTGCTGCTGCGGGGGTCCGGCAAGGGTGGCCGGAACCAGGAACTGGCCCTGCGTGTTGGAGCAGAGCTGGGAAGATGGCCCCTGGGGCATATTGATGTGCTGTTTTTGAGTGGTGGCAGTGATGGGCAGGATGGGCCCACAGAGGCTGCTGGGGCCTGGGTCATGCCTGAGCTTGCCAGCCAGGCTGCTGCTGAGGGCCTGGACATGGCCACTTTCTTAGCCCACAATGACTCATACACCTTCTTCTGCCACCTTCAGGGTGGGACGCACCTGCTGCACACAGGGCTGACAGGTACCAATGTCATGGACATCCACCTCTTGTTCCTGCGGCCTCGGTGATGGCATAGGTCACAGTTTGGGAGTCCAGAGGAGGCCTACAAGGGCAGGGTCCTAGGGCAGACAACTGTTGGTTCCCAGGGCCTCACTAGGCCTTAGGGCCCCTCCTCTCCTCAGCCCTGGCTGCTTGGTTGGCCCTCACACCTCCCACTCAGGGCCTCTCTGCTGCATGTCCATTCCCCCCAACTAGACTGGCAGGTGGGGGTCCCCTCTACTCATATGCCATGGTAGCAGGTACCCCTGAGGACCAGGACAAGCCCCTTAGCAAGTTCACTGTTCTCTTCTGGGAAGTCCCTCTGTTGAGCCTCTTAGCCTGGGTTTTTTTTCTCTTTCTGTGGAATGAAGCAAGAGTGACCGAAAATAAAAAGGACCACATTAAGGTTTCTCAGTCTGTCTTCCGTCAGAGCAAAGACTCACTGGGGAGCCGCTGGGGAGGGGAGTGTGCTGTGGCTGCAGCCACGCTGCCTGCCTGCCTGCCTGCCTGCCTGCCTGCCTGCCTGCTGCTGGCCATCCTTGGGACTTGTTTCATGTAAATGGGAGGCTGTGCCTGTCTCTCGGCAGCCTGTGTGTGGGGAGTCTAACTCCTGACAGCCTCAGTGAGTACAAGCAGAGACCCCAGGGAGGACAGGCCTGGGAGTGACTGGCCACCCAGCCAGTGTGACTCACTTGTGGCATCCTTACCATGGTCTCTCCAGCCTCAGCCTGTATGTCTCATTGAATGAACATTCACTACCTGCCACCAAGGATGCTCTTCTGTCTTTGGCTGCCCCTTAGCCACAGATCGTATCCTCTTTGGTTGTTCTGAACTCTGGCCCAGCTCCCAGCCCTCTATTTGTCCAGGGGCACCCTCAGCCACACAGAATGCTGGACCTTGTTTCCTCACGCCAGCCCCATTTTCCCAGACTGAATATCCCCAGTTCTTTCAGGCGATCCTCTGGGGACATAGTCCAGGCCCTGGTGCCAGCCCTTCAGTGGGCATCTCCAGTGTTGGGATGGTAGGTCCAAGCAGTGATGGGGTCCAGCAGCCCCCTGCCCCTTCCCATTACAGCTGGTGGGAGAACAGGCATGTGGGAAGGAGAGCCACAGAGGAATGGCTCCCTTTGCCTGACCAGCAACCTGGTTGGGAAAGGGAGGTGCTGCTGTCCTGGCACCCCTCGGGCCCCCTTGCTGGGTATCAGAGCCCTCCGCTGGCCGTCCCCGCCGTGCGCCACGGCTCCAATCCCTATATGAGTGAGCAGTAGAATCACATAGGAATAAAAAGCCATAGAGAACAGCGAGGCCTGGGGCTGCTCTTGCAGGCCCTTATTCCATCCCACCCTTCCCCTCCTCCCTGAGAGTGTGCCCTCCCTCTGGGAAGAGCGTCCCTTTCCCACTTGGGCTCTGGACAGCCTAGCTTGCAGATAATTCATGACTCGGGGACCTGGCTCACACAGGGCAGGCTGAGGTTGGGAGGGAGGTAAGCAGGGCTCTTGGGACCAGGGAGGTTTAGGGAAAGGGTAGTACGCACCCCACTGGGTTGCACAGCACTACTTCCTTTCCTTCTGTGCTGGCATCGGAGATCCTACTGATGAGGGTTGCAGTCTCAGGGGAATCCTCGCATAGCAGTGTCATGCCCTGGTACTCCTCTGGCAGCCTCTAGCTGTGCTCTGCCCCTCTTTCAGTTCTTGCTCTTGGGGGCATGATCGTAGCACTGGGTGCCAGGTTGCAGGCAAAAGCAGGATAGGAGAGCTGGGGCTGAGGGCCTGGTAGCCATGTCCCGTGTGTGTATGTGTGTGGTGGTTATGTGAGCACATGAATATTGGTGTCAGCATGCCAAGGGGGAAATGTGTGTGTGAGTGTACGTGTAGATACTCAGCACAGGACACATGATGCTGCTTGTGCACAGGGCTGCTTATACACCTGCTTAGGGTTTTGGGTGTGGTTAGGGTCTTGCTGGAGGCTCCCTCTGTTCTCCTTTGGCCCCTTTTCTATACCTGTGTTTGTGGGGACTGGGAGGCTAGGGCCTGGATTGGGCCTAACCCATTAGATGTGCTCACTCGGTACCCCAGAAATAAGGATATATTTGGCTGCAGTCTAGATGATAAAATGAGATAAACCCCACATGGTGAATGTTCCATAGGATTCATTGGCTCCATAAATGTCGATTATGGATCATTAAAGTGCTCCCTTGGCTCTTGGCTTCTGTCTCTTCTGACTCAGGTTCTTCTGCCCTTGTACCCACCACATCTCCATTCCCTGAAGCTTTCCCTGGCTCATTGGAGGCTTTTGCCACAGCGGGTGCCTGGCCCTGCTGCCTGCAGCAGCCCTTACAGGCCCCTTCATTCTCTGCTCTTGGCATGAGCTGAGAGCAGCTGGGCAGTGGGTCTGGACCGCCCTTAGGTGTCAGCCCATCCAAACCCCTTTGTTTTATAGCTGGAGATACGGAGAGAGAGGGTGGCTTGTCTGGGGCTGCACAGCAATTCAGCTGCACAACCAGGATGAGAACATGGTTGGGACCTGCTTGACTATTCTCTGCCACCCTCCGGGACTCAGAGGCCCTGGGGCCCAAGAAAGGCTCAGCTAGACCCAGGGCATCTACTTTGGCACCCCACTGTCCCTCAAGGGCTTGGGGATGGTGACATGACCACACTTGGCCTCTCTAGGGATCCATAAAGCAGATTTGTGGGATTCTTCCTTGCTCAGCAGGGTGGCTGTGTTGTGTGTATGATTTGTCAGAAAACTACATGCAGTCGAGTGGTGGGCTCCTACATAAAGGGGTTGTGTGTATGTATGCACATCTGTGTGCATGTGCATGGGAACCTGTGGGGGCATGTGTGTGTCTAGTGCAGCCCACAGCCAGTCTCTGAGCTGTGCTCTGCCCCATCCCAGGGTGGAGACATATGGGTGTAGTTAAGAGTGTTGGGATACAGTGGAGCAAGTTGGGCAAGGAGGTCATACAGGCTAGCAAAAGCTTGTTGGCAAAGGGCCTTGTGTGCCTGCCTAAGGGGGCTGACTTCATGTTGACAGTAGTGGCAAGCCTCATGAAGATTTTGGCAGGGAGTGATACCATGAGGCTGTTGTAGGACTTCGATGCTGAGGGCCACTTTCATTACTACAGGGGGTTGGGGATGGGGGCATGCAAGGAGATGGAGAGGGGTCGCAACGCAGGTGGGAGAGAGGTGCATCACCAGGCTTTGAGAACCCCCTCCCACCTCTCTGCCTGCTCCTCTGCATCCTCAGCCCCACAACCTTCAACCAGCCCAGGGAACCCTGTAGCTGCCCGCTTTGGGACCAGGGCTGGAAGTTCTGGCTCAAACACTCCTGGAAGTAACTGAGTCCCTCAGTCCCTGAGGATGCCATGAGGGCCTTGAGAATTTGCAGGACAGAGAGGCTGGGCAGCTATCGGACACTTTGGTGGGCACAGGGACCCCCACTCTCATGAGGATCTCACCAGGGTGGCAATTAAGTGGCCTAGAAGGAGTGGGAGTCAAGTTCTTGGTCCTTGTCCTGGCCTTACAAGGCCTCCATTTTTTCCCCTGTCTAATGAGGACAACATCTTTACCCTGCTCACTTCTTTGGGGAAGTGTCAGTGGTAGGTGGATCTATGTGGGAAAGCTCTGTGTAAGTGGGGGGGCTCAGGGAGGGAGGGAAAGAAGGGAGAGGAGGATTCTCTCTTCCAAGGAGAATCTCAGGAGCCCTCAGCTTAGGGAGGTCAGGAGAGGACAGGGCCAGGGATAGCGCCAGTGGGACCTTGGTGCTCATATGCTGAGTGAGCAATCTGCTGTCCTCTGGCATTGGACTGGCACTAGCAGGGGCTGGTATTTGAGTCTTTATTGGCCAGTAGGGTGCGTGGTGTCCTGGGAGGTTATGGAGCTGATGGGGGATCAGTTGGAGCTGGAATAAGCTGACCCAGCCTAGAAGAGAGCCCCCTAATGTCTCAGAAAACCTGGGCAGGGCAACCTGTCTCTCTCCTTTTGGGTCTGGATCATGGTGAGGAACATGATGAGGCCCAGACTGGGGTGGGGAGGACTGGCTTGACCCCAGGCTGGAATCCCTAGCTAGGTGAGAGGATCTGGGGTGTGCTAGGGGATGAGAGGGGTAGTACAGGGATGGGGGACACTGATATACCCTGGGTGGTGGGGAAGCCAATGACCTAGGCAGGCTGCTGTGTGAGAGATGGAGCTATCATGAGCTGTGCCCAGCCTGGAAGGGATGGTGTTTCTCCCCAAGATAGGGAGGTCTGTGAGTCAAACCCCCACCACGTAACCACTGGAGCTGGTCCTGAGGCTTTCTCCCCCCTCCCCCACTTCTCCTGCCTCAGGCCAGAGGTAGTGGCTGGAGGGGATGGGTTGGGGGTGGACGCTTTTCATAGCACCAGCTCATGCCCACAGTTCTGACTCCACCTCTCTGTACATGCTGCTTCATGGGAGGGGTGGGTGGGTACTGCTGCCCTACTCAGATGAGGTTCTGGCCAAGGAAGAAGGTGAGAGAGAGATGGCCCCTGGAAACAAGTGCTCCATCTGCCCAGTCCTAGAGGGGCCACTGCCCTTAGCAGTTCTGCCTCATGGGACCATTGCCCACCATGATCTGGTTCACCACTGGCTCCCTGGGGGTCCAGGGATCTGTAGGACCTGGCTCTGCCCTGACCAGACAGCCAGAGGCTGGCCCCTCAAAATGCACCCCATTGGGAAGGTCCTCCCCGCTGCCCCCACACTCCCAGCCTTTCCTGCCCTTCCTCGGGTAGCTAGCAGAGCCACCTTGCTCGCTTCTCTGGGGGGGGGGTGAGCAGCACAACTCTCCTCATCTCCAGCCCTGCCTGTCCATCCCCAGCTCCAGCTGAGAAGGGGGCGGGGCCCCAGCACTGGCTTCTGCCCTTCAGTTCACTCCCACCCACCTGCCCAGCTTTGGGGGCTCAGGATCTCCTCGTGGCTCTGGGTTGTCTCCAAAAATCACACTTGTAGCCTCACTCAAGCCAGGGCTCTGTCTCCACCTTCTTCCCCCCCCCCCCAGAGCCCCGATTTTTCCCTATCCAGCCCAGCCTCAGGAAGCTGACTGCAGGACCATTTAGGCTACGGCCTGAAACCCTACTGTTTGCAACTCAGGGTAAAGCTGTCTGGGGGGAGCTGGTCAAAGACCCCCAGGGAGGGAGAGGCTTTCAGTCCCCCATGTGACTCTCTGGGTCTGGGACTAGGTAGCTTGGAGGGAAACCTGGGAGCCTGTGGCAGGAGGATGATCTCTCCTCTGCCCAGACCCCCACTTGGCAGTGAGAGCAGTCCCAGAACATTTTGATTAGCAACCCCCCTCACCCTACCCAGGGACAGGCACTTGTGAGGGGTCACAGCCCTTGGACAGTGCTGCTGCTTCCACTCAGCAACCCCGTAGCTGCAGCCCAGCCAGAGGCTGG